TTACAAACAGTTCAAATGGCATCCAGATTGTCAGGGTTTTAAAAGTGTGCTGGGGAGGGTGTTGCTACTGAGATGGCTCAGCACATAAAGGCTCTTTCTGCACAAGCCTGGCAACCACTGTTCAGTGCCCAGAACCCATGGAAAGGTGGAAAGAGAGAGCCAACCCCACAAAGTCGTCCCCTGACCTCTACAGGAACAGTGGGATTTCCCTGTAGAATCCCATGGAGGGACATTCTTCTATGGAGGAGCTGTTCAATTTCTCTATTTCCTCCCTTGTAGTGCTTCATCTTCTGTCTCTATAGGGTGCATGAAGATAACAGAACATTGCGAAAGTTTAGGGAAGGGAAGAAAAGAAAGGATTGGGGCCGTTCACATTTATCTAATAGACAACTTTGCTCTCTTTCCCTTAAGATCTGAGCATTCCCTGTCTTCAGAATCTGCTTGCCTCAACATGGCCACCCACAGAAACACTGAGATGAGGATCATTCTGGTGGGAAAAACTGGGAACGGAAAGAGTGCCACAGCAAACACCATCCTTGGGAGACGTCAATTCGAGTCTAAGATTTCTGCCCATGCTGTTACCAAGACCTGCCAGAAGGCATCCAGGGAATGGAAGGGGGAAAACCTTGTTGTAGTTGACACCCCTGGGCTCTTTGACACCAAGAAGACCATGAAAGACACATGTACAGAAATCAGTCGCTGTGTTCTCTACTCCTGCCCTGGGCCTCACGCCATCATCCTGGTTCTGCAGCTGGGCCGCTTCACGGAGGAAGAGCAGAAAACTGTCTCCCTGATCAAGAGTCTTTTTGGGGAGGCAGCCATGAGGTACATGATTGTCTTGTTTACTCGCAAAGATGACCTTGAGGACCAGAGCCTGGATGCCTTTCTAGGCGAGCCAAATGACAAGCTAAATAATGTCATCGCGCAGTGTGGGAAACGCTACCTGGCCTTTAATAACAAAGCAGTAGAGGCAGAGCGAGAAAATCAAGTAAAGCAGCTGGTAGGACTGATAGAGGAAATGGTGGAGAGGAACGGGGGCTCTTACTTCTCTGAAAAGATATACGAGGACATAGACAGAAGGCTGAGACAATGTCTAAGGGAACTGGAGGAAACTTACGCTCAGGAATTCAATGCTGAAATCAAAAGAATAGAAAGGGAATGTGCTCATAAATCAGAAGAAGAAAAGAAGAAACGAATTGATTCTGCAAAGAAAAATTATGATGAGAAAATGGAAAATTTGAAGGAAAAGGCTGAAGAGAATATACTTGAGTATATTTACAAGAAGATATGTGAACTGCTTTCAAAAATTTGGGACAAGTTGAGATCGTGATGTAAATGTCATTCTTTTATTTTAATGACATTTGTTCTCTGACAATTTCATACATACATGCATATAATGTGTTCGGATTGAATTCATGTCTTTTTGTTTAGGTATGTTTTTTGCTTTGTGATCCACTGAGTTTAACTAGTTTCGTGTGGGTGACAACGGGTTTCAAACAATCTATCAGAGCCTGGTGGGCTGATCAGGAGGAACACAATGGAAGACAATGACTCTTCCTCTTCCGGAACCCATCAGCAGTTACTAGCTCAGCAGGGTGGACAGGTTCTTATGAGCTCCTCCCCTACCCAGGTCCATATCTGCTGTGAGCTCCTGATGGCAGCGTCTATTTCCTGAACGAACACGCATGCACTCACGCACACGCACACATGCGCGCACACACCTAAGCTTGCGCACGCATACACATGCGCACACGCTCACACGTTTAAGTCACTAGGAAAGCTGTCTGGCAGCTCTGCAGTGGACCTGAGAGTCCCGCTACAGGTGGCAGAGCAGGCACAGATGGCTGCAGAATGAACCCTTACGTGCTGGGATGTCCTAGACTTCTGTGAGAGGTTCTCATCTTTTGAAAACCTTCTCACCATCTTCCTGGGAGAAGATGAAGTGCAGTTCTCTGAATCAGGGGGAGGGAGGAGACGATAGGTCCCACTGTTCCCGCCAACCCCAACTTCATCCTCCAGTAGCCTGGTTCTTTATAGCTGTTGTTTCTGAACTTGAGCTGCGTTTTGAGCTTCAGTCCGTCGCTACCCACCTCTAGGCTTTCTGGGCTTTGCGGGATGTCCGCGCCCTGTCCAGTGAACTCGCACCTTCCCCTCTCCCAGGTGTTTGTCAAGTATCTCATCGCTGCTAGCGCTTTTACTTTTATACCCTGATAGCCCTGGGATCCCTTTAGTAGGCGTGTTAGATGTGAGGCTGCCCATGGTGTATAACAACACTGCCATGGGCTAGGTGCTAGACCACAGCGTTATGGTGTGATTGACTTTCCATAAGCCAACCTATCTTGACTTTGAAATCTCTGATGCATTGTTAAATGGAAATAGAACAGATCAGAACAAAATGCACAGAATACTTTCACGTGGTTACACAGACCCACTCACGGCCATTCTGTATTCTCAAGGGTATTTTAAATAGCTGTGCGTTCAACATAACTAATAATAAAAAATATTTTGATTTTTTTGTTTTTATTAATGAATTCCGTTCCTCTGGTTCTCCAACTTCTTCCTGCTCCCTCTTTTTCCCTATAAATTTTCCTCCTCAAATTTACAACACTTTGTTTTGCTTTATGTCTCACAGAATTGAACTCGGACTATTCATGTGACCATGAGTTGAGACAATACATTAGAGGCTGGAGCATTCAGCAGTGGGTACAAAACTGGAGAATGTGCTCCCCCACCCTCACCAGTTCCAGAATCTGTTAGGGGAGTCATGGCATCAGTGGGGTTTCCCAGCTGTGAACTTCATGTAGATTATTTAAAAAATTTTGTATGGATGGGTGTTTGCCTATATGTATATGTGTAAATGGAACCCACAGAGACTGGAAGAGGGGACAGATCCCCTGGAAATGGAGTTACAGATGGTTCTAAGTCACCTCACGAGTCCTGGGAATCCAGCCAGGGTCCTCAGGAAGAACAGTAAGTGCTCTTAACTACTGGTCTTTTTGATAATGTTTATAATGAATTTGCTAGGTGTTTTATTAGTAATTTAGGCTTTTAAAACTCCTATCACATTGATTCTAAAAGGCAGAGACACTGTGCACACAACACACCCACTCAAGACTGAGCTGAGTGGCCAGAGCTAGGTCCCCTCTTCAGGTGGAAGGCAGAGGAAAGCTCTTTGGTAGGCCAATGCTAGTCCAAAGTGACACTCAGGGAGACCACTGAGCACAGTTTAGTGTGCTGAGGTCTCCCCGCGATGTTTCTCCCTCTCTCAACCTTTCCTCACAGCCTGTTTTGGGTACCACCTCATGTTACTGGCAGGATGCATGGTCTCTCCATCCTCACCTTTCTCCCCCGTGAAATGGCCACAACTCAAGTGATGAGTAAGACGACAGGTGAAGGCGATGGGACAGGAAATGTCTGCGGCTGATGCAGGCAGGAAGCGTTGCAAGGGCACAGATACATTTAACACCAACTGTCTGCGGCTGATGCAGGCAGGAAGCGTTGCAAGGGCACAGATACATTTAACACCAACTGTCTTACTCTCAGAGGGTTCTGGGAAATGGGCTGACATCAGCTGTAGAGTTCACAGATTCTCGAGAATTGCAATGAAAAACCACCCTCTGGTCTCTTTGCCGCAAAACTAATGAGGTGGACTGGAGATTTGTATAAGTAGGAGAACGGATTCCACAGATTGGAGAAAGATGTCAGTTTCGTATGGGGACTTTTTGGCTCCCAGCATCCTGGTTACTGAAGGCTACACATTCACGGGCCCTTCAGTGCACAGTGCAGGACGTGGAAAGTTGAGAGGAAGGTTTAGAAGGCCTGCGGTGAAGAACGGACTTGGTCAGGACCTATCTTAGCACCACCTGCTTGCTTGGTGATTCTGTGCCAAGTTACCAGATTTCACCTGTGAACCTGGGGAATCAAAGTCACCGAATAAATAGGTTTCCTGGAGGTGGAAATTTGGATAATCTGACCCACTACTTCCCCTCCCCAGCGCTCCTGTTCTTTGTGTTAGGATCCAGAATCTAAGTTCTCCCTGCTGATCTCTGTCTGAGTAACTACCCAGGGCTGGCGGTCCCTTGGGTTATAAAACATGCAGCTGTCAAGTACATCACAACAGTGTGGAGACGCCAGGCTCTTCTGCTACACATGCGGGAGGGCTGCACAGAATTTGAAAGGAGACTAGTCCAAGTCGAAGAGGTTTGCATGGACCCTGAAGCACCCACCCAACAAGGGCTGTCCTGAATAAGAAGGGATAAAAGCAAAGTCACCCAAGAATCAGCCACGAAGTAGGCAGAATAGTAGAGAAAGGGAGAGAAGGAACAGATCAGACAGAGAGGCTAGTAGCAGGATGATCAGTTTTATTGTTAGAGAACTTTATAAATTCATGTAATGTGTTTTGGTCAGTTCCACCCCAGTCTCCCCTCTAATTCCTTCTCTAGCCCTCTCCTTTCCCTCCCAGCGTTGTGTCCCCTCTCCCCACAGTGAAATGGCCTTGTCATACCGAGCAAGTGCTGTTTCCTGCAGAAGCCCGCTGCCTCCAATCTTTCCAACCCCTTTTCTGAAGTTCTCCCTGGGCCTGGAGGGGAGGAGGTATGATAGAGAGGTCCCGCTGAAATCCAGTCACACAGTGAATTATCTGAAGTATAAATTATCTAAACACCCCAATTAAAAGTAGATTCTACTATTTGCTAGTGGCAAGGAGCCCCTCACTCCCGCTAATTTGTAAATAGGTAAGCACACAGGAGAGTCAAGGTCACTGTCAGCCAAGCCACTGAAATGCTTTAGTTCTCATTTGATTTCTCCTATCTCGAGCATCCAGTAGCTACCAGCCGCCCTGGGTGCCTTGTTAGATGGCACAGAATGCCGGACTGTAGAGCTCTGCAGTGCCGCTGGGTAGATGGGTGGGTCCCTGTGTGCTCCTGTCTCCACACTTCCTCCCCCACGCTTCCTCTGAGGCTCTCTCTTCTGGGTTCAGCACTGCTGTAAAATCAGAGAAGGCCACAGGACCTTTCCAGGTAAGAATCGGGGTGCAGTGCAGGAGTGTTGAACTTGGTGAGGAGGGGGCTGCTCTGTTGGCCGTGTCTAGTAAAACCCCCGGCAGACCTGCTATTGGAAATTGTGCTTATTGGTCTGTGTTTCCTGCCTGCTAATTTTAGGCTGTAATCCGTTCTGAAGGCTGAGTCCTACAAATTCATGTATGCTTCAGGGTCCATTGCTGCAAAGGTACTTTCTTTATGGAGAAAGTGTTCTTTCACTGGTCAGAAACAATTTTAACTTGGCTCTTCCAGGAAGAGAATGAATGAATGAGCTTGGAGGGAGCAGGAGAAGAAAAGGTAGAGGTGGAGGATCCCTAACCGGCACAGCTTGGCGAGTGTCCTCCTCTAAGCTGGCACACAGGTCAGGGTCCTCACTGGCTGTTATCTTTTTCCTTGGGGAACCATTCTTTCCTGGGTTAACGGAAGACTTGAGCTCCCTGCAGGGAGGTCTAAGTTACACTCATTGGGGCCACAGTTCTGAAGCCAGTAGAGGATGTTTGCTCATAGCCCGAGGGAGGGGAACTTAGTCAATGAAATCAGCACCTACCAAAGCACAGGTCCTGGTTTTACATATGAACCCGGTCTAAATATTCCCCCGCCCCTCCCCCAGCCTCTGTCTCTCCTTGTTAATTGCCAGTACCAGCTCCATTAAGAGCTGAGTGTTTTCCCTTTCTAGTTTAGGAGAGGCTGTCTTCTATCCACCTCTTCAGACATAAAGAAATGAGTCTCTTTAAAAAAAAAAAATCATCTGGCTTTCTGTTTCACATCTGTAATTGATGGGTCTCTGTATGGAGACTCTCTCCTTAACAAAGAACATTCCAGCCTGTCCTGGACACAGTCGGCTCCGGAGTTCTCAACAACGTTCATGGGTAGTAGGTAGAAGAAGATTCAAAACGAGCTGGGTGTTTCTGCAGGTCTGTGTATTGGTTAACGAGGAAGGGACTGCTGCACACACAGGCCACCACCCGACAGAGGAAGGTAAAGAACCAAGACCGCCCTTTGTCCAGTGTTGTGCCTGTACCCAGGAAGTTTCCCGTCACAGCCTGAGAGGAGACAGCAGATGTTAGAGAACAATCTCATGCTCCCACCATGTCCTGACGGAGAAACACTCCTGAGCAGTGAGCACAGGCGACCTCGGGAGCTGGCAGCTTGGGTTGGTGCTGCTGCAGGAGAGGGGTTAGACAGGGCCCCTCAGGAAGCAGTGGGCTGGAGCAGTGCCCCAGGAAAGGGGGTTCCCACAAAGCCTAGGAGATGAGAGGACCCTGGCGCACAGGGAGGTCAGTGTCTTCAGAGAGGGATGATCACGCCGGGACCTCCGGGTCATTTCAGTAGCCCAAACCACCTTCTAAAGATGAACAAAAGTCACTAGGGAATTCAAGCAAGAAAAGTAAAATTCAAATCTATTTTTCCCTTAAAATATTTTTACTTTATGTGTATAAGTGTTTTGATTTCATGTATATGTACGTGTACATGTATGCATATGTGTACCATGTGCGGTCTGGTTCTCCAGGAGCTAGAAGGAGACATCAGATTATCTGAAACTGGACTTAGAGACAGTTTTGAGTGCCGTGTGGGTCTTGAAACTGATCCCTGGCTCTTTGTAAAAGCAGCAAGCGCTCTTAGCCCCTCAGCCACCTTCTTCCTCAGCTCCATGCGCTGCTAGAATAGAGTGCTCAAAGCATTGACAAAGTGAAAAGTAAAACACAAAGTTTAAAAGGTCTTTTGTTTGTTTTTTGAGACAGGGTTTCTCTGTGTAGCCCTGGCTGTCCTGGAACTTGTTCTATAGACCAGGCTGGCCTTGAACTCATAGAGATCTGCCTGCCTCTGCCTCTTGAGTGCTGGGACTTAAGGTGTGCACCACCACTGCCTGGCAGAACACTGAATCTTAACAGTAGACAATAAAGTAAGTTATACTGTCTCTTTTTCATAAAAAAAATTATCTGCACACAATCATAAAAAAGAAGTCCAGTCCCCTTTCCCCCCATGATGACGGTGCCTTGGGTCCCAGCTTCCTTAAGCCTGTTCTGCTTCCTGGGGTTTGGTTGGGACTTGAAGGGATTTGGGAACTTTCTCTGGACCAGCCTTCAGAGCACTAGGGCTGCTGTGGTGTCTGTCTGCTGTAGGCAGGGAGGTTTACTCGCCGTGAGACTGAGGAAACAAGCCTTTGTTCTGAATGTCGCTGAGGAATTTAGAGTAAAGTTTCACCAGCGTTCTTTTGGCTCAGACATCAGCATTAGTACTGGAATGCTGGAGGGCTTACAGGGAATCCACCCTTATCTGAGTCCCTTTGCTGCTGCCTAAAATGACCAGATCCCACCCCGTGACATGTGGGTGCTTTACCGAGTCCTCTGCTTTCTTACATTATCAGGGATATGCAGAAGCATGTATTAAAAAATGGACCTATTTTGAAAAAAAAAAAAAGTCCAGTTACACCAAAGCGTGGAAGTGATTATTTATGGGGTACTAGAACTTGGAGAGGTTTGAGCTTCTTTTCTGCTTATTTCCTGTTTTCACATGACAAGAAAGATGTTAATTCTCCATCCAGACAGGACAACATAGTTATGAGGGGAGATTGGGGTCTAGACAATGTATCTCTTTGATGCTGAGTGACTGTGGACCTAATAAAGCGGTTGACACTGAGTTACAACTGTTCTGTTGTGGGAAATGCGTGGCGTGAAGACACAACTGCCAGGCTTCAGGAGTGCAACAGGATCTTCTTGCTAGGGCGTCTGACCACCGCCTGTTACCCTGAAAACAAGCGGCAATAGATTTGATCCGCCTGAAGGTAGAGACAAAGAGACAAATGAGATTTATGAAAGGAGCATCAATAGGATTTGGGATTGGCTGATGCATGGCAGGAAGCAGAGGCTGTAATGGAGCCCATAGGCCAGCAAGAGCCTTTGGCTGTATGGTGATGTCATTCACCAAGGAGCCATCCCGGAGGTGGGGGGTAGTCAGGGCTTCTATCCTGGCCAGCCTTTATAAGAGATGTCCTTGAAAGAGCAAAGGCCACAATGAGAAGCAGAGGCAGATGTTTGCAATGCTGAAGGAACTCCTATAAAAGGCGCTACAGCACTCAACCGCTTGAGAGAGATCCCGAGCCAGGACAAGCGCAAGGAGGTGCTGCAAGTATTTAAGTTTGTGTAAGAAAAAGAACAGCCCGAAAATGGAGTGAGGTGAGGTCTGGGGTATGGAGCAGGAGAAATAAAAGTCTGGAGTTGAAAGACCCTCCAAGAGTGTCTTTCCTCTGGGGAGACCCTTCCCAAGGAACAGCGAGACCACTTGTACGGATGCAAACAGCAAGAGATTTATTCAGATACACAGGTACCTGGGGCGACAAAGTCTCTTAGAGGACTTGTGCACCTTTAGGTCGGGGTAATGGGTTTATATATGTTTTGGGGAGCAAAAAGCGCGGTACAGAAGCGAGAAGCATAGTTACAGGGTTTTCATTGGTCAGTTTGAATGTGGCCGAGTTCAGGTCGGGACAAGGTCTCTAGTTCCCGAGAATTCAGATATGGGCTGCCTTGGCTCTTATCTAGGGCAGACTTCACCGTTCCTCCCCGCCTGGGACAGACGGTGCCTAGCCATATTCTCAGTATTCCCGTTCCTCCCCCGGCCCAGCCACAGGTGTCTCTAGCTCGTTTTGGCAGCTTTTAAACTGTCCTTTGTTCAAACCCTGAATATTCAGTACAAGCCTTGTAAAATGGCGTTACCGGTGCTAAGTCGTTTAATAAGCTGGGTGGGGGGGGGGGGTCTTTCAGAGTTTATGGCCGAAAGTTCAGTGCTGGCTTCAGGAGATTGGGTTCCGAGTGTTCTTCAGAAAATGCCACGTCTGTTTCTTTATCTGCAGAGTCAAGTGACAATGGCAGCCCAGGACCATGGTGTGGGGTCCACAACCGGAAAGCCCAGGACCGGCTATGGTGAGAGGAGCTGGAGCGCTGAGGGGGTGTGGGGATGTGGGGGGTACGGGGGTGTGGGATGTGGGGGGTGCGGGGGTATGGGGATGTGGGGGCGTGGGTGTGTGGGGGCTGTGGGAGTGCGGGGACATGGGGGTGGGGGGCATGGAGAAGTGGGGAGGCAGGCACGGAGGTGGGCAGTCCCCCCTGCCCTGATGGTCAGTCCCCACTTGAGCAGGATAAAGCCATGCCAGCGGCTGCCCTCCTCTCCTCGTGCTCTCGCTCTCTTCATAGGATGACATCCATCTGGCTAAGCAGGAGAAGCCACAGGGCCTGTCAGTGGTCCTCACCTTGGCATAGCCCTCCCTTTCTTCTTTCTTTTTCTGTCTTTTGTTTGTTTGGACACAGACTCTCACACTGCGGGCCAGGCCAGCTGGGAGCGTGTGGCAGCCATCCTGCTCTTGTCTCCCTAGTGCCCAGTGACAGGTGTGAGTGGACCACCTCGCCTGACTTCAGCACAGCCTCTTACTTCCTCCTTCCTACAATGTGAACATGGCAGAGAGGCTGCCTGTGGCCTCTTTGGTTGTGGCTTCTCTGGTGATATCTCTGTCCTTTCCTAAAGGAGGATCAGGAGAAAACAATGTGGGGGCAATTGAACCCCATCTGGATCCCTGCTCCAGGTTCCTCATTTTCCAACTAACAAATAAATCAGTGTGTCACTGGGCACGCCCAGCTCCTCGCCCACCATATTCATTATGTCAGTTGAGATTCTGCTGTTTTATCAGACTACCTTACAGGGTAGTACCTTCAAATATCACCCATTTCTTTGGCTCCAGATGCTGGGAGTCAGTCAGGCATTCCTGGGGTCTGAATCACACCTATTAAGGTTGGGTACTCACTCATGTACTTATGACACACTAGTGGTTCCCTATCAGAGTCCCGGTAGGCTCACAGATGTGTTACTTATGTACTTATGACACACTAGTGGTTCCCCATCAGAGTCCCGGTAGGCTCACAGATGTGTTACTTATGTACTTATGACACACTAGAGGTTCCCCATCAGAGTCCCGGTAGGCTCACAGATGCACCTTGGCAAGCTACTGTTCCTGTCAGGGTGTTGGCAGACTCACAGGTGTGTGCACTTCAGGGCTGAAACTCCCCCCATCCACACACACACTGCTGCTGCTTTTCAAGAAACATTTATGTGACTTCAGGTACATAAGTACATAAAACAGTTTACAAATCAAAGATAAGAAATTTGAAATAAATTTTTGATACACACAGACAGACATATAATTTACCATTTCTTAAAGATTAAAAAATATTTTTTTCTGTCCATGTAGTAAGGGGTTTCAGTTAGATAGGATGAATACATTCTGGAAACCTGTTACATAGCATAGTGAACATACTTAATACTGAATTTTATAGTTGATAAGACAGTAGATTTTAAGTGTTCTCACCACAAAACATAGTTCTGTGAGCAATGGAGATGGTCAGTATTATAACCCTTTAAAGCATTCATCGTACACTATGACTACGTACAAGTTGGGTTTAACAATGAGTCCTTGGCAACACTGAAGAAGTGTATGGCATGCTCAAAGAAGGTAAATAGAAAATCTAAAGTTAATGAATGTATTGTTGTTTTTCTTCAACTTCAAAAAAAAAGCATAGCTGCACACTAGTTTGCGTGTTTTGCTTATGTGAGTGTGACTGAATATTTGCTGCTGCAGGATAGAGCATCTCGGACATTTTCCAGGGTCGACTGGTATTTTAGTTTTACAGTAATCAGCTGTAAGAATGCCACTCACTAAGTACACAATACAAAGTGGCAATAGTCTCAAATCTGAGCCAAAATGCTTTGGTCAGCGGTTATTGGTGCTGCATGGTATGAGCGAGGCCAAGTATTGGTGGTGTTTGGTCAGAACCATGGTTGTCGTTTCACCATAAAACACAGGGAAGGCGGTGAGAGACATTACAGGTTCACTAAACCTTTGATCTTGAAATGAGTTTTAGTTGCTGTGTATTCAGAATCCTTTACTGTTGTTAGCTTTTCCTCCTGCTTCTCATGTTCAGTCTTGTGGCCCCACATGGGGTCACGACCTGTAGTTCAAAAGCTTTGGGTGGTGAACTAGCTCTTGGGCAAGCCAGGATGGTGGGGTCTCATTCGGCTGCTGCTGTCCAGCAAGCTAGTCCAGGTGTCTTCACACGGCGGCTGCAGAGGAGTCAAAGGAGCAGGCAGCCCATGGTGCTTAAAGGCTCTTGGGACTTTTGATGCCGGTCCTCCAGAGTCAGAGCGTGTCATCGTGTCCTCCAGAGCCAGTCCCACTGGCTACATTTTACTGGGAAGTGTAGAACATCTCCGTCCCAGAGAGGAGGGATTCAGAGATGGGAAGGACTGGGGCAAGCATTGCAGTCCAACCATGGCTCATCTCCACAGGACCAACAGTGGCCAATCAGGGCACAGGAGCTACGACTGGGACCTTTTCCCATTCTTCCTTCCTATGGCCAAAGAACCAAAGCCTACAATAACTTTTCAAATGGGGGTCTCCGCTGAGCAGCTAAATGAATACTAGCGGGAGCTGCCCTCACGTCTTCTCCTAGGTCGCCTCAGGCAGTATTCTCAGCCGTATTATTTCTTCATCATGGGATTCTGGTTTCCAAACATGGGGAACTATCTTTATTCTCCTGAGTCTTTATTTTATTTTTATTTGTATTCATCTATTTATTTTATATCCCAGTTGCAACCTTCCTCATCCTCCCCTCCCAGCTCCTCACCCCCTTCCTGTCCCTTCCTGCTGCCCACCCCCAATCTCCTCCTCTTCCATCTCCATCCAGGAAAGGGTGGGTCTCCCATGAGCATCAACAAAACATGGCATATCAGGTTGCAGTAAGACTAAGTACCTCCCCATGTATTAAGGCTGGGCAAGGTGGCCCAGTATGAGGAGTAGGGTCCCAAAAGCCTGTAAAAGAGTCAGAGACGGTCCCTGTTTCCACTGTTAGAGGAGTCTCACAGGAAAACCAAGTTACACAGCTGATATATATATATATATATATATATATATATATATATATATATATATCACTAAGTACACATAGGGCCTGGGTCAGTATGAAGAGCTATCTTAAAACTTGTACATCACCCCTACTTGGCTCTCGGCTGTAAGGAGAACAAGTAATTTTTAAATATAAATCAGAAAGAAGACATTCTTCTCGGCAGATGCCCCAAACTCATCCTTTGTGTTCTGCGCTGGATTCCGTTAGTGGGGGTCGTTGTTGGAAGCAGCTCACAGTTCTCTTCTGAAACTTTTATTTCCTCCTCTGGGGGCTTAGAAGCCACAAAGGGTCAGAAGGAAGAGCTCAAAAGAATACTGAAAAGAAGCAGTGAAGAAAAGAGATCAAGGGAGATACCCGAACCTCTTTGTCAAGTCCTTCAAGATGGCCTTTTAGACCCAGGGATTGTTTGTAGACCCTGGGAGGGCAGAGATGGCAGCCAGGGGGAAAGCCCGCAAGCAGAGAAGCAGGAGAGTAGGCACTGGATGGTGGGACTGCCCGTTTAACTGTTGGGGACTGCGTCTAACACTTGGTTTTATTTCCTTCATGTTCTAGAGCTTGGAGACCAAGACCAGGAAAATTCCCAACTGAGAATTGTCTTACTGGGAAAAACGGGAGCAGGAAAGAGTGCAACAGGGAACAGCATCCTCGGGGAAAAGGTGTTTCATTCTGGCATTTGTGCAAAATCCATTACCAAGGTCTGTGAGAAAAGGGTGAGCACCTGGGGTGGGAGAGAGCTTGTTGTCGTGGATACGCCTGGTGTTTTTGACACTGAGGTACCAAATGTTGACACGCAAAAAGAGATCGCTCGCTGTGTTGCCCTGACCTCCCCAGGGCCCCATGCTCTGCTCCTGGTGGTCCCATTGGGGCGCTACACCGTGGAAGATCATAAGGCTACACAGAAGATTCTAAGCATGTATGGAAATGAGGCTAGAAAATTCATGATTCTCTTGCTCACCAGGAAGGATGACTTGGAAGACACCGATATCCGTGAGTACTTAAAGTCAGCTCCTGAAGGCATTCAAGAACTGATCCGTAAGTTCGAGGGTCGTTACTGTTTGTTCAACAACAGAGCATCAGGAGCTGAACAGGAGGACCAGAGGACACAGCTGTTGACCTTGGTCCAGCGCATGGTGATGGAAAATGGAGGAAGATGCTTTACCAACAAGATGTACGGAAGTGCCGAGAAAGAGATTCAGAAACAAACCCGGGAGAAGCAAGAGCTTTACAGACAGGAGTTGGAGAGAGAGCTAGCGCGGATAAGAGATGAGTATGAAGAGCAGATTAGAGACCTGAAAGATCAGCTGGAGAGGGAGAGGAGAAAGGCACAGATGGAGAGGGAGTTCACCAGAACAGAGGCTTACTACACAGAGAGACAGCAAAATGCTAGGAGGGAAGTGGAGAACCAAAACGCGATACTTGAAATGATCTTAAAAATATGGAAGCTTGCTTGCTTCATTATCAGTCAGTTTATGCAAGATGACTAAGACCTGGTCTGTAAGACTAGACCTCATCTGCTTTCTGCATTTGTTCCTGATAACCCTGCCCACCCCTCACTGTCCAAATGCTCTGCTTTCCGTCCTCCAGAACTAAGAGTAAAAGGCACCTTTGGCAGTTGGCAGATGTATAATTGACTCAGCAAAAAAACCCGACCAATCATCTAGTACAACTCAAATCAGATGTATTAATGCTCACCACTTTTGCGTTCTTCCTCAGAGAAAGTCACCCAGGAGCCCCCAGGAGATGACTGTAAGATGTTCCCATTCGTCCTCCTCTGGATTCTCAACTATAATCTTCATCTGCAGCTTCTATACACTGCTGCTCAGGTTTTTGACAAGTCTTCTATGTTCTACTAGAAGGTCAATTCTTTGCATGAGGTAATCTTTAGGTGGAAATAGATGACCGTGCAGTTCTCAGTGAGTGTCAGTTTGTTTCGTTACAAACTCAAGTTGTTCCCTATCCACCCTTTGATGGCAAAGCAAATCTTATAAGTCAACTAACTCAGGATGAACACAAATTAGCAATTTAATAGATGACACTGCAGTGTTCGGTATGTCAGGTGTGCCTCTAGAAGCTCTCTGTCAACCTTCTAACCAGTTTGGTGAAGTCAGTTCTCTCCTTGAGAATTGATCTGATTGGTCCAACCCCTCCCCGTACCCCAATACATCCAGCTTGTATTGCTTCTGACCAGCCCAGCTAATTTTCTTATTGTTTTTATAATAAACTTTTCTATTGCTTCATCCTTGTTCAGAATTGGAGTCTGTTTTGTCCTGGAGAACAGTGCTGCTGTAATAGCAGTGATGAATTTTGTTTTATTGGTAGAATTTTTAGGTACCCTTTTAAAACCAGACTTACTCTATCCCTTTGACACCTCCTTGTTTCCTTAAGCATGTGGGTGCATGTGCGTATGTGTGTGAGTGTGTATGTGTGCGTGCATGTTTGTGCAGGTGCATGTGCGTATATGTGTGAGTGTGTATGTGTGCGTGCATGTTTGTGCAGGTGCAGGTGCATATATGTGTGTGAGTGTGTATGTGTGCGTGCATGTTTGTGCAGGTGCAGGTGCAGGTGCATATATGTGTGTGAGTGTGTATGTGTGCGTGCATGTTTGTGCAGGTGCAGGTGCATATATGTGTGTGAGTGTGTATGTGTGCGTGCATGTTTGTGCAGGTGCAGGTGCAGGTGCATATATGTGTGTGAGTGTGTATGTGTGCGTGCATGTTTGTGCAGGTGCAGGTGCATATATGTGTGTGAGTGTGTATGTGTGCGTGCATGTTTGTGCAGGTGCAGGTGCAGGTGCATATATGTGTGTGAGTGTGTATGTGTGCGTGCATGTTTGTGCATGTACAGGTACATGTGCGTATATGTGTGTGAGTGTGTATGTGTGCGTGCATGTTTGTGCAGGTGCAGGTGCAGGTGCATATATGTGTGTGAGTGTGTATGTGTGCGTGCATGTTTGTGCAGGTGCAGGTGCATATATGTGTGTGAGTGTGTATGTGTGCGTGCATGCATGTTTGTTCATGTACAAGTACATGTGCGTATATGTGTGTGAGTGTGTATGTGTGCGTGCATGTTTGTGCACGTGCAGGTACATGTGCATATGTGGAGGGTAGAGGGTGATCTCAGGCCTCACCCTCAGCGATGCCATCCACCTCCCTTGAGACAGTGCTTCCCACTGGCCTGGAGCTCACTGGCTAGGCTGTCCTGGCTGTCCTGAGGATGCTGTCACTGCCACCTCCCTAGCAAGTGCAGGCCACCACGTGCAACTTTTCACACAAGTTCTGGGAGTCAAACTCAGGTTCCCAAGCTTGTGAGACAAGTGCTGTCCTAGTCCCGTCCTCTTTTTGGCTCTGAAATCTTTGAGCCACGTTCTCAGTTCCTCACTGGTCAAACACCACGACTCTTTTGGACCTTTATTATGTTATGTACCTTAGATTTCTGAAGCCTGTGAGCTTTTCCTGCTACATAAGTGTCCCTCTCATATAGAGGTAGCAAGAATTATTTCCTTAGCCAGGCAGTGGTGGCGCACAACTTTAATCCCAGCACTCAGAAGGCAGAGGCAGGCAGAGCTCTGTGAGTTCAAAGCCAGTTGAGTTATCCTCACTTATTAGTTTCTAGGACTCCTCAGTGTTTGTCCCAACATTTCCCAGTGCTCACCTGTGACAGCTCACAGCTCACTTTGTTCTTCCTGAAAAGTTTTTGTGCCCCAATAAATCTCTCTGCCAATGCAGTAATCCAAATCAGACCAAATCAAACCGAATTAGAAAAAACCCAACTTTAATGGATACCAATGCTCCCCAGTGGCCTTCCAGCCCCCCAGACAGGAAATGGGAAAGGAAGACTGGAAAACCACGTGTTTGTCTAGACTGAGGCAACTCCCAGGGGAGGGGGCTTGGGATGGAACTTCCACCCCACTTTCCAGACTCTTCGGATAAACGGATGCAGGGGCTGGGGCGAAGCATTAACCCAAACACTCTCATATCTCAAAATTGGTTTCTCTGAGCTGCTTCCAGAAGCAGGTGACCATTTTAGAAGGTCAGTAGTCAAATGCAGAGAACAACTCACTGTGGTGTGCCCAGCGCTAACTGATACACCCACCCACAGCTCCTGTGTCCAGGGTTCAGGGAGCATCATGTAAGAGGGGTGGAAAGGGTGTAGAGGACCACAGTTTGCTGTTATAAACAACATAGCCACAAGCAACTCGGGGAGGAAATGGTTCATTTCATCTTAAAGTGTATAATCCATCATGAAGGGAGCCAGAACAGGGACTCCGGACTGAAGACTGGAGACAGGACCTGATGCAAAGGCCATGCAGGATTGCTGCTTACTTTCTTGCTGTCCATGGCTTGCTTAGCTTAACTTTTTAAATATAACCCGGGACCGCTTGTCCAAGAATGGCTGTGGCAGGCTTTCTTTTGGGCCACCAAGCCGCTCCTAAATCATGGCACGAAGACTTAACTATTTAATAAGCATGCTCAGCCTTATCTTACGCTTGTCCCACTAGCTCTTGTAACTTAATTTAACCGGCTTCTCTTCATCTATGTTTTGCCTCTGGGATTTTTACCTTCTTTCGTTCTGTATGTCCTACTCCGTGTCTGGCTGGCCCTAAGTGCGTCACTCTCTTTCTTCCTTGTTCTCTTCTCTCTCAAGCCTAGATTCTTCCTCCTATTTATTCTCTCTGCCTGTAGTGCCGATGTATCCCTCTATTGCCTAGCTATTGGCTCTTCATCTTTTTATTAGACCAATCAGGTGCTGTAGGCAGGCAAGGTAAAACAAATGCCACATATCTTTACATAGTCAAAAAAGTAGCATAAGTAAATGTAACACATTTTTGTCTAGTTAAAGTAATATCCACATCATAAACAAATGTAAAATACCTTTACATAGTTAAAGTAATATTCCACAACAGATAGCAAATAACACAGTGGGCTGAACCCTCCTATATCAGCCATTGATCAAGAAAATGCCCCCATAGACTGAGCTACAGGCCAGTCTGGAGCAGAATTTTTCCAGTTGAGGTTTCCTCTTCTAGTTGACTATAGCGTGTGTAAATTCACAAAGAAATGAAGTATATGCTCCTTTATTTATTCATCATGCCGAGTGTGTTAGTTAATATCACCATCATCATGAGTGGTGATAATAGTGGTGGTGTAAGGCTTATCTGTCTCCTTTGGGGGATGCCTCCAGAGCTCCCAGCTAAGCAAGAGTCTGGACTGTAGTAATACCAATTCCTCTGATATTTACCCTGTAGCACAGGGCTGATCTGCATTTTAGAATACTCACTTTCTTTTAACCTAAAGAGTACAAGGCGACAGAGTTTGTCTCTCTGCGTTTCTTTTTCCATGTATTGGTTATGTGAGGTAATATGTGAAGTAATATGTAAAGTGATGTTTTCCTGACATTTTCTACACATGCCTTGATCACATTCACACCTGCATGCTGCCTTCTCTTCTCTTTGCCCACCCTCTGCTCCCCTTCCCTTTTCCAAACATACCTGTTTCTGCCTCATTTTTCTTAAAACATTTTAGCTTCAATATTTGGGAGAAAACTTGCAATATTTGCTTTTCTGAGTCTGCTTTCTTTCCCTACAATTCCATCCACATTTATGCAAGTGACACAATTTCCTTCTTCTTTTCTATAATTCAGTCAACTCTATTTTGTTACATATTGTAGTAATAAGGGCTGCGGGGTTGCGTCCCCAGCACCCCGGCTGCCCTTATTACTACAAATGGTGCCCCACGTGATGAACTAAACCCACTTAAAAAACCTGAGAAGGCTTAAAAATAAGGGAGAGAGAGTTTAACACAGAGTTTTGCTGTTTGTTGGTGGCGTGCTGTAGAGAGATTTCCTGATTCGGCAACAGTAGCAGAAAAAACGCTGTGTCATTTTAAAGCGCGACTTTCTGGGGCTGTGTCGCCATTGCGATCTCTGTCTGGCTCCTACAGGAGACAGAGCTTTTGAATAGAGCATTTGGAGTAAAGTGCTAGGATTTGTTTGATGGCAACTAGACTCGCTGTGTTCTCGGGTCTGCTCTGCTTGCTAGAGGCAAGCAAGCCCCTCATCTAAGAGAAGCTTCCTGACTCAGCTTTAGCTGCAAAGCCTGCAGCTCATTAAGAGGTCCTGCCAGGAAACACTTAAAAGGTGTTGACGAAAAGCTGAACACATGCTTTTCGGTTTTCAGCCATAGCAGGAAAAAAGCTGCACCGTTTAAAAATGCTGGCTTTCTGGGCTGTCCTGCCAGGACAAACTCTGACTCTTTTACGCAGGCGGTTTGTGCCGTTTGCAAGCACAGGCTGCTGAAGCTCGCTTGCTGGCTACAGCCAGTACCTCAGCCATGAGGCTGGAAAGCTAAGGAATGGGCTGGATCCAGCTGGCAAAGCCACGCCTTTAATCCTACTGATATTGCTTGGTAAATTAAAGACTCGTGTGGTCAGAAAAAGAGAGATATACAGTAAAGAGAGATTCAAAGACAAAGAAAATTTCTAAATGGTTTGAAGTGTGTTAAAAATATATGCAGACTAAAATTTAAAGTTCTTAAAGTAACAAAAAAAAAAGGAAGAGAGTTGTTGTGTGTGGTACACACCTTTAATCCCAACACTTGGTAGGCAGAGGGAGATAGACCTCTGTGACTTCAAGGTGTGGTAGCACACGCCTTTAATCCCAATGCCTGGGAGGCAGAGACAGGCGGATCTCTGAGAGTTCAAAGACAGCCTGGTCTACAGAGTTACTTCAGGT